TCTGACAGATTTCAGAGGGGCTTCCACCTGATGAACAGCTGTTGGTGGGAACAGGCTGGAACGCGTCTGGGGCTCCCTCCAGAAAGGGAAAGTAAAGAAAGCCACCAACCATGTCAAGGGTGAGGCCTGACGGGGCAGGGAGACATAGGGCACCCACCGCTGTGCCTGAAAATGTGTACAAATACTCCCTGGAAAGAAGATTCCCACTTATTTTCAGAATCCTGGGGTTTGATGGAAATGACAATTGTGAAATGATTTTCACCAACACAAGATCTTGCTGAAGGCTGAAGAGGAAGTTGGCAGTTCAAAGCAAGAGACCTGGTTCTGTAATATTTCAAGATTTCCTAGGAACCCCCCTCACACCAAACAGGTGGCAGGGGGACCAACCCGTGATATTTTATCCCTTCCTTCACCCCTGACAATCAGCCCACTCTTAACGTGAGATGGGAACATGTGTGGTACCAGTTAAAATTAGTTCCATGAATCCAAGTAGCTCTGATTGGAGCAGATTTGCTCAAAAGCTTTTGGAGCCCCCAGTGCCTAGAGACTAAAGCCTCAGCTGTGGGCTGGCCCCAGGGTGCTTCCCACCTGTGTCTCCATCTGCCTGTGGAGCCTGAGATCCACTCCACCCTGTGCTGGAGCCCAAGCTTCAGTCAAGACAGTCTGGTCCCCTCCATCACCCATCTCCTCCTTCACCCTACTGTTTGGGCCTGGGCTTCTCTCCCATTTGGTTGTGAGCTCCTTAGAGTCACGATCAACGTCTGTGCCATCCACACCTGCCTGCATGCCCTGGGCACACCAAAGTGGAGGAAGAGTTTGGTGAACTGGACGATCTGCAGCTGGCTCCATCCCACACTCAACACAGCGGCAGGAGCAACGGATTTCTAAAGATCCAATCTGATCATCCCTCTGATGGTCCCTGCCACAAATGTGCCAGAGCCGAAGCTCCTCTGCAGGGTGCAGGAGGCTTGCCAGCATCTGCCCTTCCTCCTGCCTCACTTCCTACACTCTTGGGAGCCCTCCCTTGGGCTCCATCTCCATCTGCGCGGGTGTTCTTGACCTCCTCCTTCAGCGGCTGGCGGGCCATCTGCTCTTCCTGGCTCACTTCCTCCTACAAACCTTTCCACTCTGCCAGGACACACGCACCCAGCCTTCTGTACTGGCTCCCCGGCATGCACCCTGCCTAGTTTACCAGATTTGGGAATCCTTGGGGACAGGTATCATTTATCATTGCATCCCTAGCACATCTCCTAGAGAAGACATGATAACAATTACAGTACAAACCAACCTCAAGGTCAGAACTGCTCCACTCTGCTCCTTAGACTCTGAACAGCCACAAGACCCAAGATGGTTCCTTGGCCATCTGTACACATCAGCCTCAGGTAGCACTGCAAGAGATCCAAGCTGCCCTTCCCCTTCCTCGGCTCTGAATGGCATTACAGTGGCTGGGTAGAGCCAACTGGCTGGCTTATAAAAGACTGGCACTACAACAGGCAGAGGAAAACATCTGTTGCCACTGCACCAGAATTCCACCACGGTGACCTTTATTGGGTAGCTACATGATAGCAGAGAACAGGTCGCTGCTGCTGCAAGCTCCCAGAAGACCCTCTGACATGACTGCAAATGCCCCACATCTGCTTCTGCCTGGATTCTGCTGGTGGTGGCAGGTACTGGGGCCTGGGAAGCCATCCTTCTCTCCCAAGGTCAGAGGACCCAGAGGTTGTGTGTCCTCACACCTCTCTTGACAGTCTCTCCAGGCTGCAGAGCTGGTGTGGCCTTCCTCTGAATCCTCACCACCCCAGATTCAGTGCACAGCTGTCCAGGAGACTGCGGTACTCAGCACACTTAAGATTTTCCTTGGCTGGAGCTGTCCCCAAGTTCTGGGCACTGCTGCCTCCTCAGGGCATCCTGTGCCATCCAATGAGGTCAGACAGCTGTCAGCGAGCATCAGGAAAGACATGGTGGGTGCCCCTCATAGAGGAGGGAGGTGCCCATTGTGCTCCAGGAGCTGGGACAACCCCAAGTCAAGGGCCAAAATGCCAGGTCAATGGGGCTGAGAGGTCTTTTACTTGGGTTTAATTTCTGACTTCAGTGTCTAATCGTGAGTGCCTGGCCAGTGTTCTAGGATGTCCTGTGCAGCCACTAGGCTGCAGATTGATTTCTCAAGGGGAACCTGAGTGTGGTACCTTGGGGTCAGCTCTCCTGCAGTTTGAATGGGCCACGGAAAGGCGGTGGATGAACAAAGCCCTGGTGCACCCTTCCATTCAGCCCACAGGAGTCACAGCATACGCTTCTCTGCATTTATGTGGCGGACAGCAGATAAGAGGGTACATTCACATATGGTGCCTCATTGATCACACAGCAATGTTTTGCGCAAGGCGAGGTCTGAATCGTCTATTTATAAGTGGGCATCTAAAGCTCCGAGAGCTTAAATGACATGTCCACAGAGCCTCCCTCCCCAGTATCAGAGGACCAGGGCTGCAACAGCAAGTTACAGTCAGTTCTATGTGGCCAGGTGAGTCCTGGTTCCTACACTGGGTCAGATCATCAGCATTTTTAAAAACCGATAACTGAGACTCAACAACTCCAGAGCCATTAGGGTCACAGTGCAGCCTGCTGTCCAGCAGCACCAGGCTATCCTGGATGCTCTCCAGGAGGGCAGGCTCTCGTGCCACCCAGAAGCCCTGCGTCAGATGGCTTGGCTGGCAAGTCCAAGGAGCTCTGAGCCAGGGACCTTCATCTCCCTCTCTGCTTCACCTGCCTTCTGCCGCTTCATTTGGGGATAGCAGCTGAGTGGGAGAGGGCTTGGAGAAAGAAACTTCCATCTGACTGCTTCCTAATAACTAAGGAAAGCCAGCTTGTCTGCTAAGCCCACTCTCTGTGCAATGTGTGTCTATTGGCCTCCTGTCTCCCAGCCCCCTGCTAAGACTGCTAACCAAGGACCCATCTCCTCAGCAGGCCCTACATCTGCTCTCTCTCATTAACTCTGATAAGGGCATGAAGATAGAAGATGTCGTTTCAGTGTTCTCGGTTCTGGCAATGCAAAAGCTGTTGAAAGCACTCCTCATCTGAGCTGTGACAGTCATGGTTTCCTTAGGAGGGTCTGTAGTGACATTCAAATTCTTCTCTCCCCTCCTGGGGGAGACTCTTCACCCCTCTCATGGCATGCATGGCTTCACCAAATATCCAAACCTGACTGGAAAATGAGCAGCTCCCCTCAGCCATGGGAAAATCTTTCCAATTAGAAAAATTTTTACTGGGAACCGGAGCTGAGTTTTGTGAGAGAAACTGGGCTCAGTTTTAAGTGGTTTCACTAATCAAGGTAGGATTCTGCACACTCCCCCACTTTCTCTAGCCAACACACCAGTCCCTGTAAGGGTTTCTGAATTCTTTCTGGATGCTTTGTACAGGAAGGCACCAACTGAAGTCAAGGAGTGATGTCTTTTCATGCAAAACGGGGCCCCTTCAGTGACATTTCTTTTTTCCTACTTTGACCTTTCAACCACCACTGAGCTTCACTCCTTAAGTGTGGTTTCCAGCCCAACAGTCTAAATGTTGCTGGGGCTGCCCTAAGTGGCCACAGTGCCAGCCTTGCCCCCAGGCACAGCCATGGCTCCCGCTCACATCAGTGGCTACTGTTGAAGAGAGGCCCTTCCAGCAGGAGCAGCTGATGTCATCAAGGGGCCTCCATCTCTGCTCCCCTAGTTCTTTGTGGAGAAAGGGCATGAAACTTGCTCTCAGGCCTCTGCTAGAGGCATTCAGTGCCTCCTTGGCAATTTCCGGCTGGCTCTGAGCAACTGGTTGAAATCAGCCCTGAGGATGCCGCAGTCCTGACTTCAGTGTCTAATCGTGAGCGCCTGGCCAGTGTTCCCCGCATGCCTTGTCCCCAGCATTTGCCCCAAACCCTTTCCACTGAGGGGACATGCAAGGATAGCTGGGTGTCTCAGCTGATTGAGGGTGGCTCCCCAGGGTCTGTTCCTCCAGAACTCCTGCTCTACTTTACAAACTGGTCTTCTAAAGGAGCCAGGACCTTTAAGGAGTATGGCACCTGCATCTCCAGTCTCTGGGGACAGAATGGTGAGTTCCCAAGAGAATTCTGATCCCAATCTAGAATTCCATTTCCAAACCACTTTCCTCTTTGGCTCCAGTGATGGGCTTAGTTAATCTGTGGCTTGGGAGGGCAACTTCAGGACAGGGCTAGGGTTGAAGTGGACATTCGACTGGACTTGGCCATTTTGTAAGGGTATGTGTTGGGGTGGGGTGGGGTGACGTGGGGAGGAAGAAGGCACTGGTTGTCATCACCTCAAAATTTCTGTTCACTTCTGGGACTGATAAAAGACAAGTTTCTAGGGCCTATAGTGACACCTTGGCCAGCAGTCTTTCTTGGGGTTTTTGACAGACTTGAGCCAGTGCTTGACAGCCCACATGGTTCTCCACCTGGGCAACATGAGGTGCACTATCAGCTGGAGGAGTTGGGGTCAACACTAACAATGAGGCTCCAGGGGAGGGTTGGGGCCTTGGCAGGAGTCGGGGGCTGTTGCAGACTGAGATGGGATCAGGATTCTGGGCTTATTTGGAAAGGGGCATCAATTCCATGTGCAATATATGAGAAAATAACGTCAACGAAGTCCACAGCTGCTTTGCTTCTGGTCTCCACACTGCAGACGCCAAGACCTTGCAATCACATACCAAAGGAGCCTATGTTTTGCTCCCAGGCACCTGGCTCCAGGGACTCCAGGTCCTCACCCCAGCTGGAAGGAGCTCTGCTCCATTCCTTACTTCTGGAGGGTACTGCCTTCTCCTGTTTCACAGAAAGGAAGCAGCTGGTAGGGCTGCGGGATGGAGGTGCAGGCAGAGGCTCACCAGCCAGGGTGAGGAGGATTCTGGTCCTGGCCCAGTGAATGAGCAGGTGCATTGAGACTGTCCCGGGTTCCCACCTCCCACCTGGGCCAGTGGCCCGGGACTGCCTGGGACAGGTGGTCAGGGTCAGGAGGGCCTACCTGTATCTCTGCTTCACAGACTGCTTCTCGGTGGACTTGCAGACGTGCCCCGCGTAGTACAACGGGAAGAACAAAAAGTTCCAGTTGGTGGCAAACCAGGTGAGGGTGAAGGGTGCGTCGAACTTGGCGAAGGTAAGCTTGGCGAGCTGCGTGGAGCCAGCCCAGGAGGCGCACACGCACAGCACCACGGCCACGCCCCAGAACGTCTTGTGCAACTGCGCCCTTGAGCACGTCCAGCGGCGGCGGCTGGTCCTCCCTCCGGCCTCTGCCCCGCCCGGCGCCTGGGCCTCCGCAGGGCCCAGGGGCTCCCGGGGACGCTCCTCCCCTGGGGAAGAGAAGGCGGTTAACGGCCTGCAGACCTGGACGGGGTCTGCAGACTGGGACGGGGCGCAGGGCAGCTGCCGTGTCCTGTGCGCCAGAGCCAGGTGCTGGGTGCCAAGAGCAGACCCAGCCCAGCTCCACTGCCCCATTTCCTGAGAGCTTGCTGGAAACGCAGTCTCAGGCCTTCCCCAGGCTCCTAACCAGAACCTGATTCCATCAGGTGACCTGCCTGGACCTGGGAAACTTCAGAGCATGCTGTGGCTGCGGGGAGCTGGGCAGCCCTGGGAGGGGCTTCCTACCCAGGGGCAGCAGGCCTTGACCTCTACAGGGTCCCCTGCCTTGACAGGAACTCCCTGCCTGTTACTGACAGGCACATTCACCAGGCCCCTCCTCTTACTCTGAATGCTCAGAGACCACAGACCCTTTCTCCATCTGCTGAACTAGCTTCCTGTGGATGGACTCTGGTCCCACTTCGAAGCTTTACTTAAAAACTGCAGCCTCTGGCAGCTAGTGTGTGAGAGGCCACAGACAGGACACTCCATTATAGAGCTATGTCCCTTGGGGAAACCAGGCTACCAGCGGAGAGCAAGGAGGTGAAAGGCGTTATTTTCCACTGTTTGCTTTTCATTCATGATTGTGTGTGTGTCAGTCGGCTGGAAAGTTAAACAGAGCTGTGGCTGGTGTCAGAGTCACCATGGACAGAGGCGGCCTTCCAGGGGGCAGCCCACTTGCCCCAGTGTGCTCTGCCCGGCACTGAGCTGAATGGGCACCCAGCTGCCAGAGCACCTCACTCCAGGGTACAGAAAATGAGGGTCTCTATACATCATTTAAACTTAATGGTCATTTCATGATCTTTAATAACATTAAACCAAATTTTGTATGCTGTCTGAAACAGTTCTATGGGGAAAATCCTGGTTCAACATAGGCTGTTAAGTGGGTGTTCACTAATCCTGTCATTAACTGCCAGCCTGGACTGTGTCTGTCTTAGTCAAAGACCATCAAGTGCTACGTGACTAGTCAAGGACTGATTTGAAGCCTGTTTGACATGGTTTCTCTCATCTTCATTTTCTGCTTTAGTGATATGTAATCTCTTGGTTCTCCCGTGTGTGTATATCCACCTTGAAGCCCTCGAGAACCAAGCGTTTAGTTCCCTGGGAGCTGCTGACACCTGCCTGTCACTGCAGCAGCTGTGGGGGGGGGGGGGCACAGGAGACAGAAAGACGAGTCCCAGCCTTCCGCTTTATGACCTCCCACCAGGACTTCTTAACTTTGCTCGTGGTGAATTCCCACAGTTTAAGGCAAATTCCATTCCAGGTAGAAGCACACAGATTCAGTGTACACCCTGATTACCTGCCAGTTTTGATCAGCCTCTGCAGCCCTTCAGTACTGGATAACTGGGTGCGTGTGGGGGGCTGGGAGTTTTCTCTCTCAATGAAGCCCCGCCCTGAGTTCCCCTGGAAAGACAATTGGAGATGAAGACAAGGCCTTCCCCTCAAAACCCCCACTTAAGCACCCCGGGGGAGGCTGCATAAATTCAGCTGGGGGCACATTTCCTCAGTTAATGGGCTGTTATGGCAAATTAAGCTTTAGGACACGGGCCTGAGTACAGGTGCTATGTTGCATTCACAGGGAAGGAGAAAGCCACTGATCCTGTAATTTTATGTTGCTAAAATGGCTTTGTACTTGAGCAGCCTTTCCCTATCCTTGAGCCCTGTCCGATCCTCCAATCAAGGGAATATCAACAATGCACAAAAAAATAGAGACTCTGTAAACTAAACTTATAACTCTTATTTAAAAATAACATGTAATGGGCTGGGGATATGGCTCAAGCGGTAGTGCACTCGCCTGGCATGTGCAGGGTGCTGGGTTCAATCCTCAACACCACATAAAAATAAAATAAAGATATTGTGTCCAGCTAAAACTAAAAAATAAATATTTTAAAAAAATAACATGTAAGATTGAACTGTGTTTTCAAATGCGCAACACAGGTAATAGGTATGATAAGAGAAAAGGAGTCCGTGGCTGCTGGTAAGTTTGGTAAACACTAAATAGAACTGATAGGTTCTTTGCTCTAGGAATCTTCAGGGCACAGACGTGGTGAATTCCCAGGAGGCTGCTATAGCCCGAGTGCCTGCCTGCTATCTTAGTTAAGTGGGTAACACCTGTAGTAGATCCTAGTGTACCCTGGAACACATTTTGAGAAACAGTGGAACAGACCCTTAAAAAGGAACAGACAACAAAACCTAATTCATTGCAAACCCTCCAGTCACTGCATTGAGTCTCTTGTAATAATAATAATAATCACATATCAGTTTCATCACCTCACATATTCTTAATACTTCCAGATACCTCCTCCCTCTATAAATACAAAACGTTCTTTATAAACACACTATGAAAGTACTGAGAAGCAAGAATGAAAAGCAACCTATAATAAGAGAGCTCTCTCTGCTGCTGCTGCTGTTGCATTTTCTATAGTTTCTTGTCTGTGCAGGACACAAGGACACATCAGCAGACCTGTGCAGGACACACGGACACAGACCCACTCACTCAGCAAAACCGAAGTTGCGTTGTCTCCATCCTGCAGTCATTTAACCTAACACACCCCAGCACAGACTTTATAAAGCTCTCGAGGCTGTGTGTAGTAACGACTCCCAGGAACATCTCCACTGGACAGGAGATTGGCAGGAAGTATCTGCTGTGTGTTCAGAGCTTTAGTCTAGGAATAAGCGCAACGTGTGATCACTGTCCTTCAGGAACTGCGGGAGTGGTGGTGGTGGTGGTGGTGGTGGTGACAGGATGCACCCATAAAAGAATAAAGAACAGTTATGTGCAAAATGCAGAGACTTCCAACCACAACCGTAACGAGCAGTCATGAAGACAGCATGGCCGGTGTGCCCTGGGATGCTAGTGACCAGAGTCAGAGGAGGCTGCGGCGAGGCTGAGCCTGGTGGGACAGAAAGGCTCTGACTAGGGAGGAGCCGCGTCCAGTGTCAGAGCGTGTGTGACCTGCCCAGGGGCAGCGAGCATCATGGACCCCACCTCGCCCTGTGGGGCTGCTCAATCATGCAGCAGGAGAAACTGCGAGGTTTGTGGAAGGGACAGGAGCAAATCCAGATGTCAACAGGCCCTCCTTCGGGAAGGCAGTGCAAGCAGAGGGCTGAAACATGGAAGAGCGACACAACAAACAGTCCTCAGGCATGTTTTTATCCACCATTGAAACGCAGGCCATGTTCCCCCCGCTGGACCGTCTCCAGAGTCACCTTCAATGAGCTGTCCAGGTAATGCCCAAACAGGTTTCAGACATGGAGTCACAGCAAGGAGGGCTTATCCCTCCTCAGAGTCTCTCAAGTCTTCAAGTGCAGGAAACTTTGTGACTCCCCCTCCTAAGCTTCAGGTCAAGTGCTACCTGTTTGATTTCGTTCCATTAGAGCCAGAGTGCCTCCAGGAAATCAATATGAATGAGCCTCACACAGCTCTCTGGCCATTAGTGTATGACTAGAGTCCCGTTGTGTCACGTTGGTCTCATTCTCCACCTGCTCTGCTAGCAGACCATCTGCTTAGGATCTTCTTGTACCTTGAATTTCACTCTTTTCCTGCAGGCAGCAGCTTGGGAGCAAGACACAGATCACACCCTCTGGCCCAACGGTGGCGCTGACAGATACTCTGTGCAGTTCAAAGCATCTCCCTGTAGCTGTGACACCGCTAGATGCTCTGTTTCGGTCACTTAATCCACCCAGACATCTGCAGGGCAGGTGGGCCCTTCTAAGAACTGCTGCCAGAGTATGTGTGTGTGTGTGTGTGTGTGTGTGTGTGAGAGAGAGAGAGAGAGAATGTGTGAGTGTGTGTTTGGAAGTGTGTATGAGAGTATGTGAGTGTGTTGGTGTGTGAGTGTATGTGTGAGCGTGTGTGAATGCAAGTGTGTGTGTGATATAAGAGTGTGTGTGAGAGTGTGTGTATGTGAGTGTGTGTGTATGTATAAGTGGGGGGGGCGTGCCCTCTTCTGCACAGGGATACTCCTTGCACTGTGACACGTCACCAAGCCTGTGCTCACGAGTCCCTCTGAGCTGTCTCAGAATCCTGAGGGCTGCCAGGCAAACTGGGTGTCAGTCCCACCTCCCCCACAGTCACGCTCCATGCCAGTCCCTAGGGGACGTATAGAGGAGTCACACTCTGTTCCAGAAGAAGCAGGACCCAGAGGCGATGTCCAGATTACAGAGAGTGAGCTGGAGGTCTAGCCTAGCCACTAGCCCATTTGGGGTCCATGAACCATCCACTGCTTTTCCCTGAGAAAATGACAAATTGGGTGCTTCTTATGTCCCTGTGGTGGAAGCCATTTCTACAAGGAGAAAGCTATTTAGGTTGGAAAATCATTTGCTGTCTCCTGAAATGGCCTATAAAATGGCTCTTACGTGCTTCAAGAAAACACCAATGGCTCTTCTACCAGATCCCTGGGAACAAGTGGGTCCTTGCTGACACCCTCCATGGAGAAGTCTCTAGAGAGAGTCCTGTCCTCAGGGTAAGGGGTCCTAGAGCCAAAGACACATGGGCTGGCATGGCAAGTCTCTAGTAAGCAAAGAGTGGGAAAGGCCTCTCAATTGGCATCTGCGTCCACAGGACCCACACAGATACTTTTATAGCTTTATGGAGGTATAATATTCATCCCATAAAATTCAGTAATTTTAAGGGTGCAGTTCAGTGATGTGTAGCAAATGCACAGAATTGAGAAAAACATCACTACAGTGCAGATGTAGAGTAGTTCCATCACTCCAGAATGAGTCCTCCTGCCCCCTATTTCCAGACTCTATCCCTAGGCCACTGAGATCTCCTTTCCTTCTCTAAAACTTGAGTATTCTGGACATTTCATACAGACATGCAGACTCCCACCTCTGGCTTCTTTCATTTAGCAAAGTGTCTTTGGGGTCCATCTATGTTGTAGCACATGTTAACTGTTCATCCTTCTTAGGCCTGTGTAGTATTCCATTGCATGGAGACCACATCGTTTAT